TTTGATACTAATATCGATATATTTTTGTCAAATTTTTATGATATCTTCAAACATATATTTTATTCAAAAATAAAAATATATCGTTTTCTTAAAATCACATAAAGCCATATTATAACATTAGTTGAAATAAAAAATAAAATGAAATATTAAAATCACGATGTATTTCTCTGGATTGAGCGAGTACGCTTCTAGTATTTATATATAGTATTTATATATATGTTTTAATGTTGATGTGTGTTTAATTATTATAGAAATAGTAGACAGTTTTAAAGTTAAGGCAGAGAAACCTGAAAGAACGCATTGGAGACCATCCAAGAAGTTTGATGCCGCAAGAATTGGCAACATGGTTGCTACATATTGCACAACTTCGATCTCATTGCTATATGCGTATCCCCAAAAGTTGCGGATCAATATTAAAACCGACCCGATCAGTATTCCAACTACAATGGCAACGACTAGCACAACAATGACCGCCAATCGCGCTGTGCGTGGATGTCCTGCTCCCAATTCGTTTGAGACCCGTGTACTGCACGAATCAAGAGACGCATATTTGGTATGAATGTTATCCTAACTCACCCAAGAATTTGTAACCAGCACAAGCTAGGCCTTAATTAAGAGTATCATGTAAGGTACATAAACGGTTTACGACTGACTTGCCTAGTAGTGCTGATCACATGACTCAATCCTCAAAAGCATTGCAACTCCCATACTGTATCCATGAAATCAGTAAGCCGAGGAGAAGAAACATACCTGATAGCACCGCTTAGTCCAAACGGGATCATCCACATCACTGCTGCCGTATTAAGGCTGTGGATTGACACCCAAAAAAAAAAACAACTATTTAATCACATTTTGTTTAAACAGGTTAAAGATTGGATCTTGATTTAAATATAACTCGATTATGGATCAGATATTAATGATTTACCAAATCGAAAGCACCGAGGTCTCCAACTTTGGATGTGGAAGAAGCCCCGAAAGCAGAACAATCATCTCAAACGACCACATCTCCAAGCTGCACAATGAACATCAACTCATTTGAAACAAAAGTTTGGTTTTCGGATCTCAAAACGATAAAAATTAAGACAAAGGAAAATCTTACCATACCATAACAGCTGAAGGAATCGCGAGCTTAATGAAAGCAAGGATGCCGTGAATGGCTTCGGTGGAGAACCCAGTCCAAGTTTTGGCACAAGAAGATGAAAACTTGACATAAAGTGCCAACAAAATGACATTGTTCCAGTAAGAGATTGCATTAGCCAACGCAGCCCCCTTGCTTCCAAGCCCAGATTTGAGCACCAAAATCCAACAAATAAGAACATGAAGCAAAGTGACGATCCCGGAACTCACCATCATTGGGAAGACGATGTTTTGTGTTTGTAGGAATCGGACCAGGCATTGGAGGAGACCATACGCAAAAAGGCTGGGAAGCATGAACCGAGCGTAGAGCCCGGCCTCTTTGGATATATCGGGATCTTGACCCACCAGTTTTAGGATGGAGCCGGTGTTGAACCAGATGACAGCAAGAGGAATGCTGACCAACATAAGGATGAGCATGGCTCTCTGCATGTATATCCCTAACATGTGGTACTGTTTTGCTCCATATGATTGACCACATAGTGTATCTAAAGCACTTGCCATTCCCATCTGTTCAATGTTTAAGTACCAATTAATAAACTTGCATGTGAACCCAAATAATAAACGTTACTAAGATTAAGTAATGATTACGATGAGGAAAATAACAAGGTGAGTAGTAACGTGGCGGTTTACGAGTTTCATGACATTTTTCAAGACATTACTTATGATGACAAATCATTATATCACAAATACAATTATATATTATATATACACATATTTTCTAATGTTATTCAGTGGATCAATGATATTTAACAATTTAAATCACGTTATATATACTAATAAATTAAAAAAGTATGACACAAAGAAGGTATACAAATCTAATAAGTGTCGTATAAAACACGTGTATAGCGCCATGACATGCCACGAGCTTAACGTGACGTCAAAGAGGGAGGGCTTAAGCGGTAGCACCATATAATTAATATAATATAATATACATCTAAAAATAATTACAAAAATATGGTTTTTATAGGACCAATAAACAACTCCTAAACTTGTACTCGACACGTCTACATCTTTTGAAAACGGTCAATATATACCCAAAAATAATTACAAAAAGTATGGTTTTTATAGAATTGAGAAAAATACGGTAGCACCTTCTAAAACGATACGGTAGCACCATTCACAAATCTAAATTTTTTAGTTGCACTATTTGGATTTCAAGAAAATACGGTAGCACCTTATAAAATAATACGGTAGCACCATTCACAAACCTAAATTTTTTACTCTTCGACGAAGAAATAATACGATGACACGTGCCACCCATGCCACTTAGGTAGGTCCGCCCATGGCTTAAGCCGCCATGGCGAGATTTTTAGAACTTGTGGAAAACAATAAATTGATCTTTGTTCCTACCGTGCCGTTGTTTATAATTGAAAGCATTAGACCAGTTTGCATGTATCCCAACTAATATCATATAGGACAAAAGTTAAGAGACAAGACTATCTCTCCAATGGCCTGAAGGTCCTCGAAATAATGACAAACAAAGAGCAAACTCAATCACTTGAACTACCTTAAAGGTTAGTTCTTAATTAGTGTAATAGAAAATGTTTATTTTCACAATGTAATAAATTTTTTGGAAAAAAATATTTTTTTTACTTATATTGACCAATAACATGCTGATTTACAGCATTTGATGATATGGATGTCAACTTTATTGTCTCATTAACCTTAACCTTTCTAAAAATTGGTACCTAGCAACATCAAACTATATAAGATTAACATGTTATGAAGATTTATGATTCCAATGTATTAAGTTTATTGTTTGATTTATAAGCTAAATATATCAATGTTATTTTAAAAATATATAAATCAATATGATATTGAGGATAGGGGGCTGAGCACCATCATATATAAATCAATAATGATATTGAGCATTCGGGGGCCGAGCACCATCTAGCCCCATACCGGGTACGCCTTTGGAATCACTAGGGGCATCAAATGTTATAAGATTAACTAAGAGTTAAAATATGTAGGGTATAGGAAAGTTTGAAAGTGATGGAGAAAAGATAAGATGTTAGAGAGTAAAGCAGATATTGTAGTAGAAAAGAAGAAGAAAAGTGAAGGTTAATAGGAGATGGATCTTACGAATAAACTAAAACCAGTAACAGTAGCAAAGGAAGTAGCCATGGAAGCACCAGAAAGAGAGAGCTCTCCAAGATGGCCAACGAACATAATTGAAATGAGTTGCAGAGAATACTGAAGAAGGGAGACACATACGAGAGGCCCTGCCAGCCATACCTGCTTCTTTACTTCTTCAAACACCCCATCACCATCTCCATCTCCATCTTCTTGTGCTATACTTACAAGCAGAGGCGTTTTTATGCCTTCCTTCTCTTTTCTATCCATTTCCCTTCTCAATATTCCACCCCAAAGTAAAAACCTGATATAATATATATATATATATATATATATAGAGAGAGAGAGAGAGAGAGAGAGAGAATATCAAACTTAAATTTAATGACTCTCCTTTGATCACTTAAAAGGCTGTTTTGGATAAAAATATATCTGCTAAATTTTCATGTCTATTTATTTCCATAAATTGAATTATATATGAAGAAATGTTAATATCAATCAAATAAATTTAAAATAAATAAAAGATCTGTATGTACATCAATAATGAAAATTTAGGTTGGTTTGTTTTTTAAAAGGTGTTAAAGTCTGAAGTCTAATTTCACTTCTGATTTATAAGATGTGGTCATGAATTCTGAAATCTGGATGAGTAAGATTGTTTGTTTTTTACGTTTGAAATTTGTATCGATCAAACTAGTGCAAAAATATAAAAGATAAATAATTGTTTACAAAGTATAAAAGATAAATAATTGTTTACAAAGTATAAAAGATAAATAAATTTTGCTAACAAATCTCTTCCGGCCCCCAAAATATATATGAACAATTTGATAGAGAGTGGATTAGGATTAAGAGATATTAAGCGATACATTTACCACTTAAAATTTCAGAGAACATTTAAATCTTTTAAGTTCTTATTTTAAAAATAAAACAAACATTCTCTCAAACGTTTGAACGAATCAGACTTCAGATGTATTAAAATGTAATTTTGAGAAAACAAATAGGCCTTTAATGTTGATGTAGCTTACAAGGCTTGAGTTTTGACCAACATCGCACCTAAAGGGAGTCAAGGATTTTGGTGCAGGGGAGCACCGAGCGTAGATAAAAATTGTTTCCCCATATCGCTTTTTCCCTCATCTCTTGTCCCCATCCCCTTATGCCATCATGATCGTTGTTATGAGGAATAATATTGTCATTTTGGTTACTTTACAACAAAATAATTCAATTTACGACAAAAATAATCATTATCACTTTTTATATATCTTTTGATATTTGTTAATGTTTGAGGTTTGTATGAATAAATAAGTCAAATATTTGATTTGTGAGCAAAATTGATGCTAAAAATACGGTAGGTACTTGCTCAAAATTTTTGGCCAAACCTTAATTTCTCAAGTTAATTCACGAACCTATCTATTTACCAAGTAATCTTTACATCTCATCATGACTTAATTGAATCTAAACTCAAGTAAAAAATATGGTATTGAGTATGTTGACAAGATCACACCATTTTGCTTTTAGTTCGATTTCAAGAAGATTTTCATATCATTCCCACAACACCATGATCTATGTACCTAGTAATATTGAGATTTGGATTCACTCAACTTAATGCGATTGCAACAACCCATAAAACCCATTGTCTCGTCTTGTCATCACCATTCATAATTAAATCACATGTGATTTTGTATATTAATGATTTTTTTTGTTTCTTAAATAGTTAATATTCTTGTTTAAATCTTTTCTCTCTCTCTCTCTCTCTCTCTATATATATATATAATCATTTATCTATCAATCTATATATATATATATATATTATATATATATATATATATGTACATACACACACTTGGGACCATGTGAGAGACTCTTTTCGTGAGACCATATTTTTATACTTGAAACTTTTTAGCAGAACATTGTGAAGATAATCTTCACATTATTTTTGTTGTGAAGATTCGAATTCTTTTTACCTTCACAATATATTGTTGTGAAGCTGTGGTTATAAATTGTGATCTTACAGGTCTTACGAAAACATGTTGGTCTTAGGTGAACCCAACCCTCTATATATTTATACTATATTATAAAGCATTTGACAAAAACTCTTAAAAATCACTTTTTATGCGTAAAGTACCGTTTATTAATGCATATTACTTAGAACTCAAGATTACAAGTAGATTGTGTATAAGTACAACTTATTAAAGCTCCATATTTAAATTCGTGTAACTAACTGCCGATAAACATAATCAAATACATGATAAACATCTCATTTTAAATATAAAAAATCTAAAATATAATTAGAATAATCATTGAGTGTAACATAATACTTAATTATGATCTTTATAAAATGTTATATTATTAAACCAAAATAAATTATTTCGTTACTAAACTTAAATTAA